CGCTTATTAAACTTCCTCGCCCCCAAATGTGGCGCTTACTCGAGAAATTACTGTACAGATGTTAATTGGCAACTTAAAAGAGTTAATTACATTTAGCGCAAGTTGTTATTACATTTAGGACAAAATATTTTTACGTTTAGGACTTTATTACATTTAGGCCTTGGCCAACTTGGATGTAGAACGATAGTAATTAGGGACCTTAAGCATCGACGACGCCGACCGGAATTGAATGAAATTTTGCCGCGCGAACCTGTATAGCGGTTTAAAGTTGTCAAAAAGTCGTCCAGCCTTCGTCGATGACGAAATTCAGGGAAGTTAGCCGTCGTCGCTAAAACGTAGGTATTAAACTATACTTTTTGCGTGTAAATCACTCTTTTTCTCCCTTGTCATTCAGTGCAACCAGGCAAAACTTTAACAAACCAAGGTAATAATAAATAAAGTAAAAGCACATTTGGGAGAAGTGGAAAAAATCGCTTACTGAAGGAAAACGCACTGTCTTGCATGTTGTTCCAGTCCACCACTGTGACATGCGCACCTCTCCACTGATCCCACCTTCTGGGGCTCCTTGATAAGCTATCCAGTCTATGGACACATTAGCACGGGACCTGCGCTCGTTGCAACCAGCCGCCATCACGCACGCAGTGAATTGTTCGTAGGTCACATCTTCAATCCACGACACAGCAGCATCGTGGACGTAATTCGTGTCCCTTGTATCGATGTGATTGACAGTTACCTGCACTTGAACGGGTTTATCAGGGTAGAACACAAATGGTCGGAAACCAATTACTTCACAGTGAGAGTATCCCAAGGAAGGTATATGAGGCATGTGACGCCGGTCACGCTGAAATGGGAACCCTGCAAAGTAGTACAAAAATGCAAATGTAAAGAAGAAAAAAAAAGAATGAGAGAGTTCGAGTTATGATGAGGCGATTTGTGTCGAGCTCCTCTTTAGACAAGATTATAAATATTTTTAAAGTCATAAACTGTTCACCTTACTAAATGACCTCAGTTTTTCACATTTTACGTTACTAAAACGACGCATTTTTTTCCTTTAATTAAATCGTGTCACCGTAAAATTTCCTCGTTTGTGCTTTTGCTATAGAAATATGTTCAGGGATCAGCTTCGCTTTAATAACCAGTTTATACCTTGAAAACGAATTTCAACTGGTACTGATGATAGAGATTCAGAAGATGTGATATCGATACGTTGTTAGTGAAGACTTTTTGACGTTTCTTTTTTTAGGGGTTGTTAATTTGGGTGATAAAATTAAATGGCAATTGATACCATAAATTACGAGATCACTGATACCTTCACAGCTCCCAGGATGCTGCACAGTAAAGTTCAGCTGTAACAAACACATTTCCTGCTTAAAGAGACACTTGTTGTCATACGTCGTTCCGTTAGAAGAACAGATAGGCTCTTGATAAGATGGGCAACTGTCTATACACACGCAGCGGGCATCGTATGGCCCAAAAGCTTTGCATAGACCATGATAATCACAGTGTACGCCATCTATACAAGGATCCAGGTCTGTGTAAAACAAAAGATGCATAATTATCATTAATTTTGTGTACATAATATATCTAACGGAAAGTGCTTATACCGAGATTTGGATTTGGTCTATAAGAGTATTGTTGTTGTTCATGCTGTTTTTTTTTTTTTTTGCTTTTACTTTAATTTCAATGAAATTTTACCGAAAATAGCGAGGGAGAGAAAGAGGAAAATAGTGAGGTGAATGATCGATGTTATCATTCTTATTATCAGGAATTCATGTTGAGCTGACACTTATGAATTAAACACCGATCTTCTATCTAACGGATCTGTTAGTGTTAACGAGACAACGTGACAATATTAGTCTTTACACTAGAGCCTAAATTAGCTAAGAAATAATTCAAGAGAAGTAGATTTTAAATTCTTCAAGTAAAAGGGGACAAGTGTATGGAACAAGTCCTAAATGACTTATTGCGCTGAAACGGCATTACTTGACATCAAAGCAGGAGGTCGTATGATTATTTTTTTTGCCGTGCACTGTATGATCTTCTAAATCCTAATAATCTCAAAAAAAAACCAACAATTTAATTTAGCTGTTCTCTTTGAGTTTGTTTCATGAATGGTCGCAAAGTTATCACATTAGTGGTTAAGTTTTTTATTACATTAAAGGTTAGAATGTTATCACATCAGTGGTTAACTTTTTTATTACATTAGTGGTTAGTAATACATTAGTGGCCGATTATTACATTACTTGGTGATATACCTACCTCCAGTAATTAGATAATCGACTTTTATGGTATCCTTGCTCTTGGTTTCATAGACTCGAACACAAATCTCTGTTTTTGCGGTGGACGTGTACTAAGGGTAGAAAATCGAGATTGGTAATAACATTATTACTCGAAAGCAGTGTTGAAAAATTTACTAAACAAACGATCAAAACGTAAAGGTAATGGGAAACTTTTACGAAAACTGCACGATTAACCACAGATATAAAAACTTGTTTGAATGTTTAGGAATTAGTAAGAGGACTCGTATCTGCTAAAAAAAAGTTGATTTGGTTTGAACATTTTTTTCGTCCTCCAATTCCTTTGAACCGGTTATCACTGTCACTCCATCAAAAATGGAAATCGATTCTGTGTGATAAAGAAAGTCCAGAATCTGGGAAATGAAAGAAGCTAAGATAAATATATATATTTAAACAACCTTTACAAGGACTCAGGCCTTTGTGATATTTCCTGTTATGCGGAAATACTGATACAATTTTTTTCCCAAATTTACAGAGCTTGATGTTGTTGTTCCTCTGAGGGACACCAATATAGAGGTCAGAAACCAACAAAAATGTCTGTTTTTGCGATGGAACAATCTCAAAAAAAGGGAGACAATTTTCTAACCCAAATCACAGTTTTCTAGGCCCTTCCAGATCCTTCAAATGCAGCGTCACGCAAAAGGTTAAAAATTAACAGTGCACTTTATCACTGACAAAACAAAGAGCCCTTTCGAACAAACAGTTTGTAAAAATATGGGTTGTGCCGCTCTATAACTGATGAATTTGTATGAGTTTTGATGATGTCACGTGAAAACCACCAATAACAGATACTAGCGAGGCGTTAAACCTTGTGAAAAGATTTTCTTACACTTTACGTCTTTCCCTTCAATATGGGATTTCTTTCCTTTTATCACTGCATGGATTGATCATATTTATTAAGATTCAACGTTAAATTAATCTTTTGCTATCTGCAAGTTTGTAAAACAATTTTACCTCTACCCAAGCGGTGATTGCGTTACATCCAGACAAACGCGAATCGTTGTTGATGCTTTTTGCAGTCACTATCACAACAGGAGGAGCATAGAATTGATCTGTAAAGTTGATATTCTGTTTACAAACAGAATATCAATATAAATATGCTTGTTACAAACAACTTGAATGGCAAAACATGCGAATAATAAGTAAAATGAACAAATGACTTTAACAGGCAAGTTTCGACTTGTTTCACAGACTATAACTCCATGAATTAATGCACAATGCAGAATACTCAGAACGACTAGGATTAGTTGTTTATTGGTTCTGCTAAAAAGGAACATCATCCTGCCTTCGATTTTCTTAATGAAAATAAATTTCAGTGCTCCATTTACAAACATAACAATTTACTTTCATACCTGGCAAAAGTCGTAGTTAGCTTGCTGAGACAACAAGTTATAATTTGTAAACAAGAGACTGTCAGTTAATGTGAAGTTTCCAACACTGAGGTTTGTATAAGCCATCCAGTTCTGGAGCAATGAGGAAACAAATCATATTTTAGAAATTTGAAGCCGTCTTTGCCATATGATGTTACTAAATCAGGTGTCCGCTATTAAGCTGAAGGGGGGGAAGTTAGCAGCACGCCCCCTAAAACTTAAAAACCGCATCATAATAATGTGCTCAACATATCTAACATCTTGAGATAAACTGACCGACAAAATTATGTAATGTGACTTCAGCTTGAATATAATAGACAACACTTAAATGGGAAGGTGTCTAATTAAATTGCCAAGTAGGCTAACCCTGATTAATGCCCTTAACAACAGAAGTGACAGCATGATGAACAGGAGGAACTGGAACTTTCAATCGGGCGTGCATCTGTAAGAAATGAGAGCATTTCAATCCAGTTTCGTCGATGGAGTGTTCGAATTCAACTCCACTATCGTGTCATTAAGGGAAGGCTGAAGACACTTGTCCCACTAAAGAATATTTCTAACAATTTCGTAGCGATAAGCCTTACCGATATTACAGAGTCTATCTTGCTGTCAATTCAAACAAATCTAACTGAACACTGTACCTGAATTGCTGATCTTAAATAGACACCCTTAGGATATTTGAAGAATACATTTTCACTGTTTGATTGATTTTGAGCAAGTTAAATGTATTTGTTTTGCTTATTTGTGTGTAGAAGAATATTCTGAAAGCAAACTTAATGTGCCAGCAATAAAATTCAGAGGGAAATGAACATTCTTGGAAAAGTATTCTCAACCTTCTGTACATTAATTTTCTTCAAATCCACATCTTTTATCAAATAAGAGCCCCAAAAACCTTGATTGCATTTTTACAATTTCCCTTTAAAACTCTTTTTATCATTTACGTCAATCAGAAAATCTAGAAAAAAAGAAAAAAAAACGCATGAAAGTGAAAATTCCAAATTTTGCAAAATATGGCTGTCAACAATCGGTGGCAGAGGACATTTTGACACTGGGGACAAATGTTTCCAGACAAGTTTTAGAAAGATCGCTAAGCTTGGTTCTCATTAAGCATGAACCTTAAGTTTGGAGCCTGGCAAAAGCCCCTTCCCCGCGGTCTGCATAACACTAAAGTTTTACGGAAGAAGGAACCTGATTTCAATTCATTTAAACGAGTACTAAAATATAGCTCATGAAATCGTTTAATTACTCATACTAAGGTTCAAGCTAGAAAGCGTTCCTGCTGAAAGCTCCAAAGCAGTAAATGGTAACAGAAATGTACTTGGGGAATGTATTTTTGCTTCAATGTTTTACCAAATTCGAAATTACATATTAAAAAGAAATACTGGACTTAAAATTTTGGCATATTTATTTTTTGCTATAACTTAATACGTAAGAATTTTACAAATCTATGATAACTTCGACCATTTTTGTTGTGATTATGATAAACTTAAGAGCAAATAAGCGTCTTTGGGCAGCTCATTGCAGAAAAAATAATTGAATGGAAATCTTAAAACATCTTTGAAAAGCAATTTCAAATTTCAAACTCACAATAGCAATGCCTTTGTGAAGTCCGTCGAAAATCTTTACTTCCCTGAGGCAGATTTTGAAACTGTCCCCAGTCAATTCCTCCACCCAGACTGCCATGGCGTCTTGAGGTCTCTCAGGAAACTGGTGACTTGGAGTTGCAAGTAAAGTTGGAGAGGTCAAAAAACGCTTTAAATAAAAAACAGAAGAAAAATGGATTAGTTAAAATTGAACAAATAATAATATTACTATAACAACAACAATAATAATAATAATACTATAATATTATTATAGTGCTAAAAATAAGGAGAAAATTTTTTCCGAATTACAAATAAAAGAGCACTGAAAATTCTAGACAGAGGAAAGTGACACACACACAAGAAAATGAGAGCTAGAAAGTATTTCCGTAAAGTACCGGCTCGCACACCGCGCTTGAAGAACAACTTTATCAAATTCTTTAACAAAGGAAAGGCCAAAAATAATAAATCATACACGGTGACTGACTGTAAAATCTCTTTGTTTTGCAACCTTAATATTTCTAAATTAAATTTATTTTAACTGAAAATTTACAGCAATTTAAACAATGTTTGATGCCTTTCGTGTTATTGTTTTATAAACTAATAGGTAAGATAGCAATTGGAAACTAACTTTACCATTTTAAAGGCCAATGTTTCATTGTTTATATTTAAGACTTGTTATATGTCAATGCAAGTGTCAGTATATGACGAATTATATAGGTAGGTATAAGTGTAGTTCATGAAGAGCACATCACTCTTCGGAATAGTGGGGGTTGGTGTTGAAAGGTTGGCTGGTTAAGTTTAATACACCCTGGAGTCCTACATAACCGTTGTCTTATGGTTGGAGGGGGCAGGGAAAGGTGTGTTAGACGACTTTTCGCTTTCTTTGTGGCTCGTATTGTCATTGCGAGAGTTCGTGAATTGGTAATTGCACGGATTGGTAGGTTATTCCACGCATAAAAAAAAAAAAACTTCGATCAAGTTAGAGCGTACTGACAACCAAAAGATTATTTGTGCTTAATATTTCTTTATTCAAATGCGTTGCAAATCGATCATTATGTGTCTGTTATATAATGTTAAAGAAGTTCTGTCGGATAGGAAAATGATTCTACAGAAGTGAACACACGTCCAGAGTTTGAACAAATAATGGCATGCTGAACGATAAGGACAACGTTTTTCAACATCAAAGGAGGTATGCATTATGTTCTTTGCGTTTGAGCCAAAGAAAATGTTTGACAATAATATTATTTTAGAGTGTCATCTGTCAAGAATCCAAGAATGTCCTTTATTGCAAAACGAAATCGGATTTGGCTGTTCAACGGCAAGATGAAAGTTCCATTTGTGTGGCAAAGGCCGAGTGCGATTAGCAGGGAGCCACACCAACAATCAACTTTTAATTGGCGAATCAAAACAACTTATCCTACCTTCTCCTCTAATACATTTAACTGCCCGTATGACTTAGCCGTAACACTGGGCGTCCCAAAAACAAACAACCAAAATGCAGCAAAAGAAAAAGGGAGAAGGATGTATTAACAAACTGATCTTGTTCATTCAATGGTTTTATCATAGGAAAAAGTCTCTTTTGATATACATCTTTCTGAGAACTCGAAGAAATGATACATTTCCAGACTATAATTAATAGAAATTTTCTCCAAATGACTAGTAACCTTATGCATATCGTTATTTTGTTCATCTTGCAAGACCACTTTGTCTGACCGTTCTGGATTCTTCCTTTTTGTAATCAATCACGTTACTTTGTACAGTGAACATATTCTTTTGAAAATTAAACTAACCTAAGGAAAGTAGATCTTCTTACATTCTGTTCCGGTAGTCCAAGAGCCCAAGGAAGTGGTTCCTAGTTGTGCCCCCGGAGGGGCAAATTGTAGGGCAATCCAGTTTATCTCAGCAGTTGTATTTGAGCCGTTGCTGTACTCGTAGATGCAAGCGCGGAATTGAGTTATATCTACTGATTCCACCCAAATAGCAGCACCATTACCACGGGTTTGGCTGTTCACTGAGTGCCCAGACGAGGCAAATACTTTCACTTGCTTTCCACCAGAGAACGGTTTAGCGAATGTGATTTTCTCACACGCGAACAACCCTGGGTTCCTGGTAGTTGCATTGATTTTTCCAGCTTTGAAAATGACTTCTGTAAAAGAATGATAAATTTTTAGACTAAAATAGCCCCCTGTTACCTCTGGGCTATTGCGTTTGGTAGATTTATGAAAGGTTACACGCACTGAGCGTAGGTAGAGTCCTTAACGTTTGAGTATAAGGTCGTATTCAGGACCTTCCTATTTCCGTGCGTGCCCCACCTCCAATGCCTTCTACCTTACTCGAAATGAAACTTCCACATTATTTTGCTGAAGAAAATTGCCGACAAATATTAGCATGTTAGAGCTCATATTCTTAATAAACAAAAAATTATCCAATATACCTTGACTTCCTTCACTAAGAAGCACAGCAGTAAAAATTGCGTAGAGGACAAACGGAAGGTGTTGCTCTCCCACCATCTTGAATTAACTGAAGAAATGCCGCTCCCTCTTGTGCAAATAATATACACTTTGTCCTCACGTGAAGGCATCATTTCTGTTGCGTGGACAGTAAGGAGCAGTGAAGCACTAATTTACCTTAAATGGATATGATCTGCCGTGGTCCTAGCGTTGAGGTCGTGGAAAGGGGGAAACCACCTACCGGCATAGACTTACCATATACTAGAGACTCTGGTCGAGTGGATTTATTCTATTTGGCTAAAATTATAATTACCGTTTCTGAGAGCAAGTAAAGCTTATATGTTAACACCCATGCGCTTCTATATTTCACCCAATTGTCCCCCTCTGACTTTTTTTGCCCTTTTGAAATAAAAAGGAATTCATGAGACGTTTAGTGGTTAAGTATCTTACTGCCAATTATATTAATTTATATATTCCAGTCGCAGTAGTTGTTTACAGAAAAGCCATTTGAAACTTAAAAACTTTACAAATGCTCATTTTGTTTCTTTACCTTTTCCTTTTCTTTTGATAGAGAACTTTAACCGTCTTTCATATATTTGGCTGACTTCTTTTATCAAATTCTCGTGATCAATTGTTTTCATTGATTCAACCGAAATCATTGTTAGATAATTGAGCCGGGTTAAGTTCCACTCCTTGAAGAACCAGATCATGCAATGATCATTTAATTATTTGTAGTTCTTTTACTTACACAAGCAAGTAACAAACTGTCTACTCCTTAAAATTGAAATCCATTCGTATGCTCTCCATAAAATAATTCAAATCAGCCTTGTCAAATTATAGTGTGAGCGAAGTGAATAGAAGGAAAGGCTTTTCTTACTGTCTGGATATAATTGTTTTTTTCAAATCCTTTTGTTTTTTGGGTATAAGCTTAACAAGAAGGGATTGGCGGACAATTCATTTGTACAATTTATGTAGTTCAGAAATGAATCATTAAAGCTAAGCGAGAAGGTTTTAAAGGAAGTTGTGCCCTCAAAAGTATTCTTTGATACTATTAAAATTATTTAAAAAAAATAAAAAAAAAAAAACTAAATAACGAAATTAATTTTTTTAACTTCAAGGTCCATCCCTGTCGACAGTTTTGCACAAAATCATCTTAAGCCACAGCTTACCCAGTGTGGTGACGGCCATCTGTCCTGTTTGGGTACGAGTTCAGGTTTATATGGAGTTTCAGCTTTATAAACAACTGATCTCTCGGATGACAAACAGTCTCATTTACGAAACTTGAACAGAATTACATGTACATAGTTTGCGTGCAGTGCCTGTTGTACTTATCAGTTTGCACTACGTAACAGAGAAAATGACCTGCAAGTTAAGTATTGCTCGGCAAAATGACTCACCAGACAAGCCTTACTTCAAGTTCATACAGCTTCTGCACGAATAACGTAAAAGGTCTTCACTGAAACAAATTGCAAGGGTTCTTTTGTTGGTTCTTACAGTGATTCTAAGCTTTACAAAGAGAAGCAGCTAGATTCATAATGAAACAAACTAAAAATTGAGACAAACTGTTTTTATTGATCCATCATTTTAACAATGCCAAAAACTAATTAATTGTAAGATTGCAGCGACGGCTTAAGGGCAAGTTCAATAATGCCGATATGTCAACTTGTTACATAGTCAGTTCTATAAGCTATCGGAAAAGTGTTTCTGAACTATTGTCTAGTGTGAACTATTAAGCTAGGGAAGGACTTTAAACTTGGAACTTGTAAATATATATGGAAATTAAAAACTACTTTATTGCAGCTAGAGAGTAGTATGTTTGAATTTGTTTGTGCAATAATGGATTTTAATTAAGAAGGTACTTGGGATTCGGATTTAAAGGTAGTTGTTTTTTTTTTTTGGCGGATTTTGGCGAATTAGCCAGAAACGGGATGCGCGGATCACTTATTATGTTTGTATTTAAAACATGAATGGCGAGCTGACTTTTCTAGGCCTTCCAGACATTTTAAGCTTAACTACCAGGCTCTTCCAACGGCTTCCGATTGTCCGTATGTTATATCTCAGTTTTAAGAAAAGAAAGACTTCCTGCCACATCTTATTCGCTTTTCTCCCTCTCTACATATATATACTCATTAAGAGTCGGACATTCAAGGCCTGTTTCCCCAAGCACCCGTCATTTGGAATTCTCTAAGTAGTGCTACACGTTGACTCTCTCGCTAGGAATTTAAGCAAAAAATTCATAATTCACTTCTGAAAATCCTCGCCGCTGAGGATGATTATATGGATTCAGCAGCTCTTTTTCCAAGAACGCCCAGTCTTTAATCATGTCTTCCTATCGCAATTACTGTCTGTAATTCAGCTAGCTTTCAACAATAAGTGTGTGCTTCAACTAGTGAATTTTTCTTTTACTTTTTCATTTAATTAATTTATCTATTTATGTGCTTTATAGAAACGTTGACATCTAACTGATTCTAGGCTTTCTGTAAATTGCTATCACTGCCCGCCGCAATGAATGATTATCCAGTAATCGGATACCCATGTTTTGCGCACAGGATTCTGGGATCGCCAGGGGGCAAACATTGTGAATCGCTACAAAGAAATGTATGGCGTGGAGTTGTTTCTCCGTTAAAAACAGTGTCTTCGGACATAGAATGCCGCATTTTGCCGTGATTTTTATGAGAAACGGAGGTCACTAATGTTGGTGCGTTGAAATATCAAGTTTCTGTGTGATTAATGCGACAAATTCTATCGATAAACACTCCTTGCGTGAGGTTGAGTGTGAAATTTATGTTTACTGAATTTACACAGAGATGAAGAATTCGAAGAAAAGGTCTCGAAATATATAATGCAAATTTAGGTATACATGTAGGGGGATTGGTTCATGTAAGCGTTTAAGTTATAATTACGTGTGGTGATATTTACGACGAGTGTAACTACGCTCGGTCGCGATCACCGCTGTGCGGCGCTTTGCGGGTTATGACTAGACAACAATCGTAGGTATGTGCGTGGCCATAAAAATAAAAAATCCTCCTTTACTTTGGTATAAACAAAGTGACATCTACAAAATATTTCATGGAAAGTACATGGTATTTAATCATTAGTAGATGAGGCAGAAATCGTAAGAACGAGTAAGATTTCCGATACAAAGGCGGTGAGTTTGAAAATAAATACCAAGTTGATGTGCGAAATTCAGAGATTCTGTATCTTCCCTCAAAATAATTGGAAAAGGCATTAGAACTCATCGGTGCTCTGGATCATGACAAAACAATTCGCTTGTGTTTTTTTGGCGAGAAGAAATCAATATACTAATGTGCGGAAGATGTTTTTGTTTTTAAATTTAATACATATCAAATTCGACAATACATAAGCTTACCTTTGATCGTTGTCACAAACCGGCACAGCATTGTGATTGCCGCCGAGCGGAGCGTAATTACACTTGTTGTAAATATGAGCACATGTGAGTACAACTGGAAAGGCTTAAATGAGTCCGCAATCCCCGCTCATTTATACCTAAGTTAGTACTATATATTTCGAGACCATTTAGTAAATTCACAGTCGACCTTTCGCAAGAATCAGTGTTTATCGATAGATTTCATCGTATTGATCCCACAAAGACATTGGTCACCTCCGCTTCTCATAAAATCACGGGAAAATGTTGCATTCTCTGTCCAAAGACACTGCTTCTAACGGAGAAACAGCTTCACGCCATACATTTCTTTGTAGCGACTTGCAATGTTTGCCCCCTGGCGATCCCATAATCCTGTGCGCATAACTAAGTGTCCGATTACTGGAAAATCATTCATTAGCCTGTGCTAGTGTCAATCATGTAGGGTAATTGTATTTTAGCGTATTGTAAACATAATCTGTTTAATAGTTAGCTATAGTATGTTAATTTTAGTTTGTAAACCGCTCTGAAGCAATAAATAACTGAAGTTAAAAGTTGAAGTTGAAAGTTATTGATGAACGAAAGACGAATCCACTAGCTAGAACGAGTATTTTGAACCGAAATTGATTATTCTGCAGTTGGCTTTTGTTAGCTTTTGTTCAGTGGCATGGGCTGTTTAGTTGTTGGAAAATCAGAATGGATATATCATCATTCAGTGATCCGGCGTTTTAACCTAAAAATTCACCTTTTTCCATGCCAGGGAAATTATCAAAACAGGCAAGGCCCCAGTGACCGGCAATAAAACATTTCTTGGTGCATTGATGGCACGTGCTTTGAGAATTCTGCAACAACAGAGATTTTAATCTATATCTAGAACTTTGCTTAGTGTGATTTATGAGAAAAAGGAAAAGGAAACAGAAACTTTTAAAGCGATAATTCAACTCTGTAAAGAACAGAATGACAAAACAGACACATCGTAAGGGTCGATTTATTTGTTTACATATAAAACTATAATCAAAACAAGCCAACTAATCCGCATGTTAAAGGCGGCGGCGTTTCATTGTTCTATTATTAGTAGACAAGTGGGAAACAATAGAAACAGTAGAAACAGACTGAGGTCATAATCGTAATAGTAGCTGCAGTTATACAGGCTATTTTAACCCCTGGTGGGCCTTTCTTGCCCACCGGGCAAGCAACATTGTATTAAGGCCAATCTTTCCCAAGAGAATTTGGCTCGGGAAAATACCATGGATACGTCATGTGAAAATGAAGGCAACAATTATCTTTTTGACGTAAAATCATGTCCGCAACCCGGCTGAAATCTGGGTATACAGGACATTGGATTATACGAGTTTAGGTCTAGTGATTTCAAAAGCACCTTAAGAAACTCGGAAAATTTTATTTTCGTCAGTGAGGCGAGATCCGAATTCTGTTTTACCATTATTTATGCACTTATACGCATAAACAGAATAAGGTCACCAACTTTGAAAACCAAGACAACAATATATACCTAGATTGATAAACGTAACACACCACCTTAAGAAGTGAAGTGGAAATACAGTTATAGTGTTTTGTAACTGTTAGCGTCTTCTACATGCATTAGCACAGTGAAAAAAGGACATTGGTGAGCCTGCACGGCTTTCAGCTCATGCATGTGACTAGCCGTTTGTTCCCGTTGTTTACTTTCTGAGCGGGTAGATTATGCTGTGGAGGTTTCTTAAGGTTGATTAAGCAAATACTATTTTTGCCGCTTCCCTCACATTGAGAGGTCATGAAGCTGGTCTGTTTCATGTTATCGCTAATAAAATTAGTGGTGCGGAGGGTTTATAAAAGGGGTAAAAATGACTGAAAAAGAATTTTACAAGGACGCTTAGAGCAAAATTGGGTCTATGTTTTTCTTCCCCATGGGCAATTTAAAGGCATGCCACGATCACGATATCGATCAAGACTCAGAGCAAACCCGACCCGCTTTGGGTAAGAGGATTACTGTAACCACAACTTGGTCGATGGCTGTGCCCTACCGGGGACCACTGACGTCATTCAAAATGAACGTCGTCATGAATTTCACTGCAGGTAGTGCAGATAAATTATCTTATCTTAACAGAATACAAATTAATCCTTAATTCATGCTTGAGGTCCGAATAGTTAATACAATAAACATTCATTTTTGATTTGGTATTTTTTAATTTGTTCGATTTTGGGACTATTATATTAGAACTGAATAAAAAGCAACTCACTGATGAAAAGAGGTGGTTTATTGCGTTCTTTTTAACATGTGCCGAACTTAACGTGAGGGTGAAATGCATGTGAAGTGCGACGTTTGAATCAATTTTAATTTTTGTATATTTAAAAATATACAAAAAAATATTTCAAGGTAAGTGTACCCTGACTTCCTTGAGCAAGAGGCATAGCTGCAGCAAAAATTGGGAAGAGGACTGGCGGGACGTGTTGCTCTCCTGACATCTTGCTTTAACTAGATAAATACTTCTTTTCTTAAAAATAATATTTCTATTGTGTTCGAAGAAAGTCATTATTTCTGTTGCGTTTAAAGTAAAGGGAAGAAAAGCACTGATTTTCCTAAAATGGATATAACTATTTTTGGGACTAAAGTTAAGGTCGCAGAAAGGGGGGAACTGTCTTGGAAGAATTGACATAACTATTCACATATGATTGTAGAGGCCTAAAAATGTAACAACCTTACAACTATTATGAACACACCTAGGCTCCTTTTTATGTTTGGTCTGTTTCTCCCCCTCACACTTTGCCCTCCAGGGAACAGAATGTTCACCCGGAAGTTTTCTTTTTGATTGTCGGGCCTCACTTGGCAATCATGGCTCATTCCTGTCTCTCGAAGCCGCGGTCTTCTTTCGCCTTTGTTAACAGATGTAGTCATCGGTTTACTCTTGAATGTCACTCATTACATGCCCTTTATTTGACCTGATGCGCCTCATAGAATTGATTATTCCCAGTCCGAGGGCGATCAAAAAAAATTACACTTTACTATTAAAAATTTCCTTCCCAAAAAGGTTATCAAGAAATCAATCAACCAATTATTTATGTAAATACGTGGGATGGGGTTGTGCCGATCATCCGAGCCCAAGGCTCATGTATGAAACGTATGAAAAAGTATATAATGGATTTTCTTTACCGTTTCCTTTCCTTTAACAAACAACTTTTCTAACCATTAAGTTTGTATTGATAGCTTTTATCAAGGGTCTTTAGTTCGCCTTGACTAGTCGGCTGCCTTGATTCTTGCGCTTCCCAGAATAAAAGCAAACAATTAATGCAATGAATTCAGCATATGACATCCTGGTCCACTTTGTGGATTTACATTTCAGATTGTCAATGTTGTTGCATTAGAGAATCAGCTCGGCTCTACAACACATTTATATGACTATGAATTCCACCCACTGTGAGAGGTATGAAATTTTTTATCTGCAAATGTAAGATAATCTATAAGTGTCTGCCGCGTGTTACTGCAAACCAAATTTACTAAAATCATTCCTCGCAATACGCAAGAGGAGCAAGACTGTGTTGAATGGTTAAATACTCTGTCTCTGAGAGAAACAGGTCAACACAGGAGTGTTATATACAGTTGAACCTTCTTTACTCATCTTAAGTGAAGATAAGATGGCTATACTCTCGAGTAATCGTGCTCATCTTTAAGATGGAAAAGACAGTAACCCGGGGGAGGGATACTTCCTCATATAAGCTATATAGGTTTCTACCCCATCGGGTGTAGTTTTTGCGTCGTTTTGGTCTGAAAACGGGTATACGCTTTGCCCATTTTGGTCAGGGATCGGGTATGGTTTTCGAGGGAACTACAGAGTGGATTTGAATATTTTTTTTGTTTTTCGCTCTAATCTATGTATTAATTATAACATAATTTCTGCCTAAAGGCCAGGTCTGAAAACGGGTATGGAAAATTACATTTTTTGGCCTGAAATAGGGTAGGGATTTGGAGAACCGGGCGGCATACCCCCACCAAGAATTCCTATGAGTACCCACCCCCCAGGGGGCAGTAATCGGATTTGCCAAGAGCCCAAGGCTCGGGCTATGCAAGAGAATCCAAATCCGGAATCCCTGAAATATTTTTGTTAATGGTATCTGGAATCCTGGAAATTTTGCTTGTGGAATTCGGATCCTGGGCTGTGGAATCCGGAATGTAGCTCAAGGATATCCGGAATGTTACTAGCGATTGGAATCGGGGATCCACGACGTGGAATTCAGAATCCAGGATTGTCTTGGATTCCCTTACATGGGGCGACAAGGCGATGCTCTCACCCCAGATATCAGGCGAAACTGGAATTCATTGATGACTTTATTTATTTCGGCAGCGTTATTAGCAATGAAGATGGCTTTGAATTCAAGGAGATCTCAATAAGGTAAGGCTGTGAAAGGCCAGAGGGGTGTTAGTATAGCACAGCAAATCGACTAAAATTCAGCTGTATAACAGCTGTGTGAACTAGCTCGGTGTTTTCAGGGGCGGATCTAGGGGGAGGTGCAGGGATGCGCACCCCCCCCCCGAGATGACCTGCGGTTTTCTAATACAGCTGGTATTCTGCAAAAAAAAAAAGTAGAGTAAGAGACGAGTGCCCCCTAAAAAAAAATATCCTGGATCCGCCTCTGGTTTTTATATGGCAGGAGTATTGGGAGGCATTGGGTAAGAAAGATGTGAGTTAAGATGAAGTTTTCCAAAACGGCTAGCGGCGGGGGATTTGTAATGGAGACCCCGAGAAAACAGGCTTTCATTCTCAGAGGGTCCCCAATAGGGTTTTTCACTCTCGTAATCCGGACCCAAAACTTTATGCAATCCCGTAATCCCTAGGGTTATTTTTGGCATCCCACCTCCCGCGCATACTTTCAATCCCAAATGTCGCTCTGATTTTGCTTTAAAGTCCCCAATCCTGAGCTTCAAATGAGGAAAATCACGTTCCCGAAAAACCTATCGAGAACCCTCTTCTTAGCATGACAGCCCGTTAAAAATCTCGTAGGGGTCAAAAATTTTTTCTTTGTTTCCTAATTTATCTCAAGTTTCTTTCTAGAGTCAATTCGCTGGGTTTCTCACTTTCAGCATGGGCAAGTATACAGTTGACTTTTCGTGCCCTTTGTACGAGTGTGACTTGTACACTTGATTCACACAGTAAAACTCCACCGTCTGGCCTGGATTTAGCTCAGTCGGTAGAGCGCTCCTTTATACAATCCTTGTAATCCTGAGATTCTGGTTGTGAGTAAAATGACGCCAACTTGCCAATAGCCTATTGTCATACTAAATGAGAACAAACACATGTGACAGGTATTTCACTAAATTGTACGTTTATTTCTCAAAAAAACTCTAATCCTAATCCAGTAATTGCCCAACCTAGTGCAGTCCCCATCGGGACCGCAGGGCTAGTGTCCTTGTTATTAGCAAGCAAGAGTCTGCAGTAGAAAGGGAGTTAGCTGCTGATCGTACTGCCGATGTGTGTGCAAGACGAGAGTGACTGTACCTATAGTCGCTATGCATTTCGTTTCCGATTTTACAGAGTGCATCCCTATACCCATCAATATTAAAACAAGTAAGCAGATTCATTTATATCCCGCACTTCCCTGTACATCTTTTCCTAACTAGTAAACATCTGTTCATCGCGGTTTATTTAGCAACTACATGGTGTTCTTGGACTCAGTGTATTCTGATTACCGTGACAAATGACACAGAAACCTGTATTGCTAATTGAATGTGTTATTTTACCTAGTTTGTCTTCCTGGTAAGTTCTATTACTATAATTGTATTTCTTACTTGATCTTCAAAACAACTTAAAACAAAATTTAATATCCTCTTTTTAAGTTTAAAGAAAACTGTTCTTGCTTGTTAACTCGAGTAGTACGTTGAGCTATATAGTGCTATATAGTTTTTTTTTTTTTCCGTTTGCTTAAGTTATAATAGAAATCAAAATATTGAAGTCTTTTTTTTTTTTTTCCATTTTTTGATAGCATCTATTACTTTACTTGCACCTTGTTTTTAGTCAGTGCCACAATAACGGAGATCGCACTGACCACTAGGTGTACCATTAAGATAGTACACATAATATGAACCACAATTTCTCACTTTGATGTTTGTTGACCAATAACAGCAGTTACTACTCCAGTGAAAACACACCTGCCTGCTGACCTGACCGTCTGCTACTGTATGGTGTCCACCATTCAACCAGCCGGTTACAGTTGTGCCACATCTGAACATAGGTGGACATGAAGTTGGCAATCTTGTACCGGCGGACCACTCGAAACGAAACCAGCCAGGTCCGATTCCTCTGTCACAATAACTGCCACCGGAGTACGTAATCTTTCTGATATAACTGTTAAGGCTTCCGTAATTCTGACATTCTGATATATAAAAAGAAATAATGATTTAACTTTTTAAAAGCTAGAAAATCATTGAATATTTGTATATTTTTTGTAATTTATTGTTTCCAAAAGTTTAATCTACTGTACATAAACAGGCTCAAATTGGGTAATTTTCACGTCCTGTAAGATCCCTAGTACCAGCCCCACTGTGGCGATAACTGTCTACATACGAGTAAATGGGGATTGGTTACTGGCTTTCACACACTGGTAGATATACAGACCGAGGTTAAGCAATAACATGGGAAAGGGAGACAAATATATATATGTAGGCATTCTTTAGCTGCCTCGATCTGCCATCGCAAATGGATGAGTGATCTCTGCTACATACGATGATGTAGGGAAATAGTAGGTTAAATAATAATTCTCGCGGAGCGAGTGTATAATTTTGTCGCGCGCGCAGCGCGCGGTTTACGCGACGATCGCAAGCGAGCTGCGATTTCTCTTTGGTCATAAATCTTTCTATCGGTTTGGTATCCGTAGTTGCCTAACAACAAGCCATAAACAAATAATAAAGACGCCCAATGCACGTCATCGTGCATTTTGAGTTTCCAGGCAACAGCGACTTTTTATTAATCCTCTGTTTATTGTACGCTGGCGAATCACAAAGTATTTCTGAGGCAAAAAAACAGCGGGCTGCAAACACAACAGTATCCAATTAGACAAGTGGTAGTCCTTGCCGTGGAAGGTTTAACACCGAAAGAAAGGTGACCTGAACTTCAGCGAGAGCAGCGAAGAAGAAGACCACTCCGTCGTGAATCGAACGGCCTATATAAAGCCCGAGAGTAAATAAACACGGAAATAATGCGAAATGGTTTTGAAATACTCGTTTGAGTCATTTTTCCACAAATGTATCTTTGTATTTATGATAAATACAGCTCCATAAGGTTCAAACAGTGTGAATGGCAGAGAAAAATACTTCAACACTATTAATTTTGATGAGTTATCGGTGCAGTGGTCGCATGGCCCAGTGGTCAGAGCCGCACTTTTTCGCTGGGGGAAGTTGGGGTGCAACTGGGTTCCAACCCCGGCGTGTCTACTTCCATTCTTTTTTTCTTTCATCGTTTTTTTACCCTTTGGCTTTTTACTGTTTATTCTCACTGCTGACCCCGTTAGCTTCGCAAGATTTTTGCGAAAACGTATTTCTAGTTTTATGCACTAAAATTGGTTCATTTCATCGCATTGACGCTAGTTTCTTTATCGTCTGTCCTCTTATTGATCATAACATCGCATCATGACATTGTCAAAGTGTTGTGGATCCACGAGCACGAGCCCCAGGCGAGTGAATCTACTAGAAAATTTGACAATGTTGCTGCGGACCTGGCGGCAATTTGCTTTTTACTTTAACAAAAGTTTGGAAAAAGGATCAGTAAAAAACATTTTGTTTTTCAAAAACAAACTACTAACAGGAGTACCCGACGGAGCCGCTCGACAAAATACCCGCTCGTCAGGCAGAATTTGAGCTAGCTGGAAAAAAAAAACATTGGCTAGTTAGCTGGCTGGGAAATCTGAATGAGCGCCTTGCTAGCTGAAAATATGAAAAATTTATGCCGGTTCTGGCTGGATAAAAAGGTATATTTTTTCTCCTGGCAATCGCACTGTAATTTTTTATATGGATATTAGAGCGGGCGAAGCAAGTAAGTGCGCGTGGAAATCACCCCACGCGAGCTGTGGAAATGACACCTTTTGCCTGTGAAAACGGAAATTTGTTTGGGTGTGTAAGCAAAACGTCCTGCTGTGAATACCTTGTAAAAGATACACGTAGTGAGAAAATGACACAGTTGAGTCAAGCACCGCTCACCGCTTTGTTTGTAGTCGTTTCGCTGTCGATCCTTTATAGAAAACACTTTTGTGTGTTCGTGTTTTAATATGCCTGTCTAAATATCAGCTACTGGCCTACGTTCTACTTTAAACCTGGTGTTAACGCGGCCAAAAGGTAAGTAAAATGGTTGTGTTTCTTTGTCAGGTTGCCGTGCATGTGTATCGCATTAAGAACATTCGCTAAGGCACATAAATGCCATCAAATATTGAGACGATTGAATACAAAAACTCTCTCCAATAAATAATACACTCTGGCCTCTTAGCGGAGTGAACTCAGAACTGATTTCATTCGGTATGCTCGTTTGCAATGTTGTCCAGGTTTGCGCGCTCAGGAATATTTCCGTTGGAACCAATTTCTCTTTTGTTATGTGCTCACCGGGACGGGAAACCTCCTCGATCTATGGTCATTTGGAAGGCGTTTAGCAACTGCACAGGTATCTGTTAGGATCAGAAAAGGTAGGAAGATTTTACATTTGTACTACCCGTATATTGATGTATTTCGCGTCCGTTATAGTAACTGTTGTTTTTAAAAAAGGCAACATCCAAGTGTGCCGTTGCATTTCAATGTTAACGTCTGTGTAGTAAATTGTAGTATAGCGGGGTAAATCCCGAACGGCTATCATTCTTTGACTTTCATACCAGTATCTGTTTTGACGCTGACGCATTTCTTGCTCTTAAAGCTTTTTATCGTATAAATTGTAAGAGCTCTGTTAGCAAATTTATTCATATCTTCGAACACAGTGACTCAGATTACATATTTTTGGTGATGTTTCCCGGCTGTAGGACCTCAATTTTGACAGCGGGCGTTACCGGCCATGGTTACGTTTGAGAGGCTCTTTGGCCAATGTAGAAAAAAAGAATAAAAAATAGTTTACAATTTTCTTGCCAAAAAATGAAAGAAAATTACAAATGTGAACAGTATTTACTTATTTTCCTAAAATTGCTGCAAGCAGGGTTTAAACTGGACTATTGAATAAACAAATTAATAGACAACTAGGTTGTTCTTTTTGCAACAATTTGTCGTGAAGAACAGGATATTTTTCTTTGGAGTTTTTATTTCCTTCTGGTTATCATGAAGTTATTGCTTTCTACAAAATAATCGCCCTCACAACTCAACCGTAGCCTGCGCAAAAGGCGTCATTAAGGTGCTTAGGGTTGTTTAGAGGCGCGAGCGTGAAGCGCGAGATACGCAGTAGGACGCAGTTACGTCACGTTTGCCGTCGTCAACTCGATTTTTAAACGTACCGAAGAAGGTTTCACCTAAGCTTATCTTATTGCCAAAACCTACAAGAATTTTTCTGTAGCTGTATTAAAACTGAAGTACTGTTGCTGTTCGCAAATTTACTATGACGGTCGCTTCAAGCAAACTGATAAAGGTATTGCTGCATTTATTTTACTTTGGTGGGTCTCTCTGTACCCAAAGCAAAATAAGCTTGCCTTCCTTGGTGTGATCTTACTTACATTTGTTTCAACTGCGCTTCGATTCTATAACTTATAGATGTCACACGACCATCGCATGCACGACATAAGGTTATATGCCTTTATAGGTGATTGTCTGACTGCAAAACAAAACATTCCTGACTTACATACGACTACTGGCTTTTGCTGCGAAACTTTGCACCAGTTCTGGTGTGAAACTTTTACGGTGATTGCCTGACTGACCACGTACGACTACTGGCTTTTGCTGCGAAACTTTGCACCAGTTCTGGTGTGAAACTTTTACGGTGATTGCCTGACTGACCACCTACGACTACTGGCTTTTGCTGCGAAACTTTGCACCAGTTCTGGTGTGAAACTTTTACGGTGATTGCCTGACTGACTGCGTACGACTACTGGCTTTTGCTGCGAAACTTTGCACCAGTTCTGGTGTGAAACTTTTACGGTGATTGCCTGACTGACCACGTACGACTACTGGCTTTTGCTGCGAAACTTTGCACCAGTTCTGGTGTGAAACTTTTACGGTGATTGCCTGACTGACCACCTACGACTACTGGCTTTTGCTGCGAAACTTTGCACCAGTTCTGGTGTGAAACTTTTACGGTGATTGCCTGACTGACTGCGTACGACTACTGGCTTTTGCTGCGAAACTTTGCACCAGTTCTGGTGTGAAACTTTTACGGTGATTGCCTGACTGACCACCTAAGACTACTGGCTTTTGCTGCGAAACTTTGCACCAGTTCTGGTGTGAAACTTTTACGGTGATTGCCTGACTGACTGCGTACGACTACTGGCTTTTGCTGCGAAACTTTGCACCAGTTCTGGTGTGAAACTTTTACGGTGATTGCCTGACTGACCGCGTACGACTACTGGCTTTTGCTGCGAAACTTTGCACCAGTTCTGGTGTAAAACTTTTACGGTGATTGCCTGACTGACCACATACGACTACTGGCTTTTGCTGCGAAACTTTGCACCAGTTCTGGTGTGAAACTTTTACGGTGATTGCCTGACTGACCACCTAAGACTACTGGCTTTTGCTGCGAAACTTTGCACCAGTTCTGGTGTGAAACTTTTACGGTGATTGCCTGACTGACCACGTACGACTACTGGCTTTTGCTGCGAAACTTTGCACCAGTTCTGGTGTGAAACTTTTACGGTGATTGCCTGACTGACCACCTACGACTACTGGCTTTTACTGCGAAACTTTGCACCAGTTCTGGTGTGAAACTTTTACGGTGATTGCCTGACTGACCACGTACGACTACTGGCTTTTGCTGCGAAACTTTGCACCAGTTCTGGTGTGAAACTTTTACGGTGATTGCCTGACTGAACACGTACGACTACTGGCTTTTGCTGCGAAACTTTGCACCAGCTCTGGTGTGAAACTTTTACGGTGATTGCCTGACTGACCACCTACGACTACTGGCTTTTGCTGCGAAACTTTGCACCAGTTCTGGTGTGAAACTTTTACGGTGATTGCCTGACTGACCGCGTACGACTACTGGCTTTTGCTGCGAAACTTTGCACCAGTTCTGGTGTGAAACTTTTACGGTGATTGCCTGACTGACCACATACGACTACTGGCTTTTGCTGCGAAACTTTGCACCAGTTCTGGTGTGAAACTTTTACGGTGATTGCCTGACTGACCACCTACGACTACTGGCTTTTGCTGCGAAACTTTGCACCAGTTCTGGTGTGAAACTTTTACGGTGATTGCCTGACTGACCGCGTACGACTACTGGCTTTTGCTGCGAAACTTTGCACCAGTTCTGGTGTGAAACTTTTACGGTGATTGCCTGACTGACCACATACGACTACTGGCTTTTGCTGCGAAACTTTGCACCAGTTCTGGTGTGAAACTTTTACGGTGATTGCCTGACTGACCACATACGACTACTGGCTTTTGCTGCGAAACTTTGCACCAGTTCTGGTGTGAAACTTTTACGGTGATTGCCTGACTGACCACCTACGACTACTGGCTTTTGCTGCGAAACTTTGCACCAGTTCTGGTGTGAAACTTTTACGGTGATTGCCTGAAAGAACACGTACGACTACTGGCTTTTGCTGCGAAACTTTGCACCAGTTCTGTTGTGAAACTTTTACGGTGATTGCCTGACTGACCACCTACGACTACTGGCTTTTGCTGCGAAACTTTGCACCAGTTCTGGTGTGAAACTTTTACGGTGATTGCCTGACTGACCACCTACGACTACTGGCTTTTGCTGCGAAACTTTGCACCAGTTCTGGTGTGAAACTTTTACGGTGATTGCCTGACTGACTACCTACGACTACTGGCTTTTGCTGCGAAACTTTTGTGGTGATTGTCTGACGACATACCATTATGGCTTCTTGACCACAGAAAAAAATGAGTGAGTAAGATCAAACTCAGGATGACAAGCTCTTACTAGTGCGGAGAAAAATACTACAAGAACACGTTATCAGTCTGGCTTTAAAAAGTAAACTGTTGCCATAGCGTATTTGAAAACATGGACAGTATTGTTTTTTTTTACCGCAACAGAAAGGTCCTTGTTTGTAGTCAGGCGTTTACGTAAATGACGAAAGAGGAAACCATCCTCCCCACGTTGAAACTCGAGTTAAAGACCGCAAACGTTACCTTACTTTGTGGCTTCGTGGTTTTCAGCCGTAGTGGTTAGAAGTTTCCAACGGAAAGCCTGTTTACTCGAAACTTTCTATTAGTTCTGGTGTAGACTTTTTGCGGAGTAACAGTAGGCACGGCATACAATGCTGGCGATAAGCATGTGTCTACACTGAATTTGGGGTGATTTTGCAGAGGAGACCACACGTGGATCGAGCTTACTCGTTATGTTGTTTATTCTTAAACTTTATTTCACCTCAGTCGATTATCGTTGGAAAAAGTTGGCCTTAAGGCTTTGCGATGATCACTTTTTTTACGTGTTATTGTGTTATGGACAAAGTTCGGGATCTTCCTTTTTATCGTTTACCTGGCAAAAACTCAAGACTACTCCTCAAGTCCACATTCCAAAACTGTAAGTATCGCTGAATGTCTTTAGTTGTTATGCTATTGTTATGTAATTCTTAGGGATAGGGAATAATATATACTAAACAAATACACTGATCTTTTTCCCTATATCAAAAAAAAAAAAAAAAAAAAACCGACAACTAGATAAAAGGGTGAAACAGGTTAAACACGCTTTTCTTTTTATATTATGTAAATTTGACGTAAAACAGATCTTGCCTACTGACTTACATGTTTTTTCTTGGCAATGTGTTAAATGAAACTTTGCTGGCTGGCTCATAACTTACTTCTGCTACCGCTGGCTGGCAAACACCGAATTCCGTTTCACTCTGGCTGGGATTGCGTAATTTTTGTTTTTTTAACCTTGCTGGCTGGCAAAAAACCGTCAAACATGATTGCTGGCTGGGATTTTTATTTTCTGAAAGTCTTGCTGGCTAGCAGTGAAGAGCGGGTATTTTTTTCCCAGGAAAGTTAAATATTAACATGGGTTGACGTAAAAGCACTTTGCTAGCGTTTACGACATCGTATAATCAATTTTGCGAAAAATGTTCGTTGGGTACTCCTGTACTAACAGTAGAACCCGGTTAATACGGACACATTAGGGGACATGCCATGGTGTTCGTGTCATGCAGATGGCCGTATTAAGTGGGCTTTCCATAAAAACGTCCCGGAAACATCTTGTATTGATATAAAGACTATGGCAGACAAAGAGGAAGAAGGGTAGGAACAATGACTGCGCCGAAAAGCCGAGGAAGTGAAACTTGAGTAGTAATTATTAAATGGCTATATAGTACAGGGAAAGAAAGACTGACTTAAAATCAAACATATCAAGTTATTCTGCTACTTAAACCCAGAAATCTGTCATTGTTTGGACAGTGTAAAATATCTACAAATAGCACATGATTGTGACAAGGAAAATAGACGGTACGCAGATAGCCAGTGCCCGTAAATAGCAGGGTTGACAGAGTTTGCGCCTCAGGACACAGAAAAGTGTCCATTGTGTCCGTATTAATCGGTGCCCGTATTCTCAAGGGATCCTCACTCAAGGGATTTTGAATCTCGACCTTGGTAGACCACTCAGTAATATATATATATATAAATATATCTAGCCGAATTTATGAAAACCTACCTGAAAATGCACCAGAATATTCGCACAGAAAGCTGGCGATAGCCAGCTTTCTGGTCTCTGCGGTCAGAAAAAACATAGGGGGCTTGCTGTCCTGCTTGGTCTCATTGTCAAGTTCAGTCCCTGAGCTAACTCGCCATGGGTTGGAAAGGGGCCTCCATGTCAATCCCTAGGGGGGGGGGGGGGGCTGCTGCAAAAGCGTTGTACCTTCCGTTAGTCCTGGTCTGGGAGAGTCAGTGCACTGGTCACCTCTGCCTTTAGTTTGTTATGTAAAATTCTTGTAACGTTTGAGGCCCATTGGCCAATGAAAGCATTCCCCTCAAGCACGTGCTAGGCTGGGGGTGGAGGAAGTCAGGGGGGGGGGGGTGACTTAACCTTGAATTCTCTGCTTAGAACTTGCTGAAGTCTCAAGCGTCCTCCGTCATTCAGGGCCTTTAAGCAGCTAGAGTGTATGGACAAGCCCAGAGTGTCTTTTGATGGACTTGAATGTTTCTTTTGCTAATCAGGAACCAAGAAGAGAGTCACCTTAAGAGAACCATGGGTAAGAGCTGAGTTTCTGGGCGATATTTACTTTAGTTGAGTCAGTTTAAGGTGTGTGTGGGCTCCTGGTGTCCGATGTTACGGTTTTCATAAATCCGGCTAGATGATGTCGTTGAATGCTGTCGGGAGGGGAGAAATGGGGCCAAACTGGGTTGGGAGGAGGCAGATTTGGCCCGAGGTGACCTCCTTCTTGGAAAAGACAGCATTTGTCGTCAACATCTAGCCGAATTTTTGAAAACCTACCTGAAAATGCACCAGAATATTCGCACAGAAAGCTGGCGATAGCCAACTTTCTGGTCTCTGCGGTCAGAAAAAACATAGGGGGCTTGCTGTCCTGCTTGGTCTCATTGTCAAGTTCAGTCCCTGAGCTAACTCGCCATGGGTTGGAAAGGGGCCTCCATGTCAATCCCTAGGGGGGGGAGGCTGCTGCAAAAGCGTTGTACCTTCCGTTAGTCCTGGTCTGGGAGAGTCAGTGCACTGGTCACCTCTGCCTTTAGTTTGTCATGTGAAATTCTTGTAACGTTTGAGGCCCATTGGCCAATGAAAGCATTCCCCTCAAGCACGTGCTAGGCTGGGGGGGTGGAGGAAGTCAGGGGGGTGACTTAACCTTGAATTCTCTGCTTAGAACTTGCTGAAGTCTCAAGCGTCCTCCGTCATTCAGGGCTTTTAAGCAGCTAGAGTGTATGGACAAGCCCAGAGTGTCTTTTTGATGGACTTGAATGTTTCTTTTGCTAATCAGGAACCAAGAAGAGAGTCACCTTAAGAGAACCATGGGTAAGAGCTGAGTTTCTGGGCGATATTTACTTTAGTTGAGTCAGTTTAAGGTGTGTGGGCTCCTGGTGTCCGATGTTACGTTTTTTCATAAATCCGGCTAGATGATGTCGTTGAATGCTGTCGGGAGGGGAGAAATGGGGCCAAACTGGGTTGGGAGGAGGCAGATTTGGCCCGAGGTGACCTCCTTCTTGGAAAAGACAGCATTTGTCGTCAACATCTAGCCGAATTTTTGAAAACCTACCTGAAAATGCACCAGAATATTCGCACAGAAAGCTGGCGATAGCCAGCTTTCTGGTCTCTGCGGTCAGAAAAAACATAGGGGGCTTGCTGTCCTGCTTGGTCTCATTGTCAAGTTCAGTCCCTGAGCTAACTCGCCATGGGTTGGAAAGGGGCCTCCATGTCAATCCCTAGGGGGAGGCTGCTGCAAAAGCGTTGTACCTTCCGTTAGTCCTGGTCTGGGAGAGTCAGTGCACTGGTCACCTCTGCCTTTAGTTTGTCATGTGAAATTCTTGTAACGTTTGAGGCCCATTGGCCAATGAAAGCATTCCCCTCAAGCACGTGCTAGGCTGGGGGGGTGGAGGAAGTCAGGGGGGGGTGACTTAACCTTGAATTCTCTGCTTAGAACTTGCTGAAGTCTCAAGCGTCCTCCGTCATTCAGGGCTTTTAAGCAGCTAGAGTGTATGGACAAGCCCAGAGTGTCTTTTTGATGGACTTGAATGTTTCTTTTGCTAATCAAGAACCAAGAAGAGAGTCACCTTAAGAGAACCATGGGTAAGAGCTGAGTTTCTGGGCGATATTTACTTTAGTTGAGTCAGTTTAAGGTGTGTGGGCTCCTGGTGTCCGATGTTACGGTTTTCATAAATCCGGCTAGATGATGTCGTTGAATGCTGTCGGGAGGGGAGAAATGGGGCCAAACTGGGTTGGGAGGAGGCAGATTTGGCCCGAGGTGACCTCCTTCTTGGAAAAGACAGCATTTGTCGTCAACATCTAGCCGAATTTTTGAAAACCTACCTGAAAATGCACCAGAATATTCGCACAGAAAGCTGGCGATAGCCAGCTTTCTGGTCTCTGCGGTCAGAAAAAACATAGGGGGCTTGCTGTCCTGCTTGGTCTCATTGTCAAGTTCAGTCCCTGAGCTAACTCGCCATGGGTTGGAAAGGGGCCTCCATGTCAATCCCTAGGGGGGAGGCTGCTGCAAAAGCGTTGTACCTTCCGTTAGTCCTGGTCTGGGAGAGTCAGTGCACTGGTCACCTCTGCCTTTAGTTTGTCATGTGAAATTCTTGTAACGTTTGAGGCCCATTGGCCAATGAAAGCATTCCCCTCAAGCACGTGCTAGGCTGGGGGGTGGAGGAAGTCAGGGGGGTGACTTAACCTTGAATTCTCTGCTTAGAACTTGCTGAAGTCTCAAGCGTCCTCCGTCATTCAGGGCTTTTAAGCAGCTAGAGTGTATGGACAAGCCCAGAGTGTCTTTTGATGGACTTGAATGTTTCTTTTGCTAATCAGGAACCAAGAAGAGAGTCACCTTAAGAGAACCATGGGTAAGAGCTGAGTTTCTGGGCGATATTTACTTTAGTTGAGTCAGTTTAAGGTGTGTGGGCTCCTGGTGTCCGATGTTACGGTTTTCATAAATCCGGCTAGATGATGTCGTTGAATGCTGTCGGGAGGGGAGAAATGGGGCCAAACTGGGTTGGGAGGAGGCAGATTTGGCCCGAGGTGACCTCCTTCTTGGAAAAGACAGCATTTGTCGTCAACATCTAGCCGAATTTTTGAAAACCTACCTGAAAATGCACCAGAATATTCGCACAGAAAGCTGGCGATAGCCAGCTTTCTGGTCTCTGCGGTCAGAAAAAACATAGGGGGCTTGCTGTCCTGCTTGGTCTCATTGTCAAGTTCAGTCCCTGAGCTAACTCGCCATGGGTTGGAAAGGGGCCTCCATGTCAATCCCTAGGGGGGGCTGCTGCTGCAAAAGCGTTGTACCTTCCGTTAGTCCTGGTCTGGGAGAGTCAGTGCACTGGTCACCTCTGCCTTTAGTTTGTCATGTGAAATTCTTGTAACGTTTGAGGCCCATTGGCCAATGAAAGCATTCCCCTCAAGCACGTGCTAGGCTGGGGGGTGGAGGAAGTCAGGGGGGTGACTTAACCTTGAATTCTCTGCTTAGAACTTGCTGAAGTCTCAAGCGTCCTCCGTCATTCAGGGCTTTTAAGCAGCTAGAGTGTATGGACAAGCCCAGAGTGTCTTTTTGATGGACTTGAATGTTTCTTTTGCTAATCAGGAACCAAGAAGAGAGTCACCTTAAGAGAGCCATGGGTAAGAGCTGAGTTTCTGGGCGATATTTACTTTAGCTGAGTCAGTTTAAGGTGTGTGGGCTCCTGGTGTCCGATGTTACGGTTTTCATAAATCCGGCTAGATGATGTCGTTGAATGCTGTCGGGAGGGGAGAAATGGGGCCAAACTGGGTTGGGAGGAGGCAGATTTAGCCCGAGGTGACCTCCTTCTTGGAAAAGACAGCATTTGTCGTCAACATCTAGCCGAATTTTTGAAAACCTACCTGAAAATGCACCAGAATATTCGCACAGAAAGCTGGCGATAGCCAGCTTTCTGGTCTCTGCGGTCAGAAAAAACATAGGGGGCTTGCTGTCCTGCTTGGTCTCATTGTCAAGTTCAGTCCCTGAGCTAACTCGCCATGGGTTGGAAAGGGGCCTCCATGTCAATCCCTAGGGGAGGCTGCTGCAAAAGCGTTGTACCTTCCGTTAGTCCTGGTCTGGGAGAGTCAGTGCACTGGTCACCTCTGCCTTTAGTTTGTCATGTGAAATTCTTGTAACGTTTGAGGCCCATTGGCCAATGAAAGCATTCCCCTCAAGCACGTGCTAGGCTGGGGGTGGAGGAAGTCAGGGGGGTGTGACTTAACCTTGAATTCTCTGCTTAGAACTTGCTGAAGTCTCAAGCGTCCTCCGTCATTCAGGGCTTTTAAGCAGCTAGAGTGTATGGACAAGCCCAGAGTGTCTTTTTGATGGACTTGAATGTTTCTTTTGCTAATCAAGAACCAAGAAGAGAGTCACCTTAAGAGAACCATGGGTAAGAGCTGAGTTTCTGGGCGATATTTACTTTAGTTGAGTCAGTTTAAGGTGTGTGGGCTCCTGGTGTCCGATGTTACGGTTTTCATAAATCCGGCTAGATGATGTCGTTGAATGCTGTCGGGAGGGGGAGAAATGGGGCCAAACTGGGTTGGGAGGAGGCAGATTTGGCCCGAGGTGACCTCCTTCTTGGAAAAGACAGCATTTGTCGTCAACATCTAGCCGAATTTTTGAAAACCTACCTGAAAATGCACCAGAATATTCGCACAGAAAGCTGGCGATAGCCAGCTTTCTGGTCTCTGCGGTCAGAAAAAACATAGGGGGCTTGCTGTCCTGCTTGGTCTCATTGTCAAGTTCAGTCCCAAAGCTAACTCGCCATGGGTTGGAAAGGGGCCTCCATGTCAATCCCTAGGGGGGGGGGCTGCTGCAAAAGCGTTGTACCTTCCGTTAGTCCTGGTCTGGGAGAGTCAGTGCACTGGTCACCTCTGCCTTTAGTTTGTCATGTGAAATTCTTGTAACGTTTGAGGCCCATTGGCCAATGAAAGCATTCCCCTCAAGCACGTGCTAGGCTGGGGGGGTGGAGGAAGTCAGGGGGGGGTGACTTAACCTTGAATTCTCTGCTTAGAACTTGCTGAAGTCTCAAGCGTCTTCCGTCATTCAGGGCTTTTAAGCAGCTAGAGTGTATGGACAAGCCCAGAGTGTCTTTTTGATGGACTTGAATGTTTCTTTTGCTAATCAGGAACCAAGAAGAGAGTCACCTTAAGAGAGCCATGGGTAAGAGCTGAGTTTCTGGGCGATATTTACTTTAGCTGAGTCAGTTTAAGGTGTGTGGGCTCCTGGTGTCCGATGTTACGGTTTTCATAAATCCGGCTAGATGATGTCGTTGAATGCTGTCGGGAGGGGAGAAATGGGGCCAAACTGGGCTGGGAGGAGGCAGATTTAGCCCGAGGTGACCTCCTTCTTGGAAAAGACAGCATTTGTCGTCAACATCTAGCCGAATTTTTGAAAACCTACCTGAAAATGCACCAGAATATTCGCACAGAAAGCTGGCGATAGCCAGCTTTCTGGTCTCTGCGGTCAGAAAAAACATAGGGGGCTTGCTGTCCTGCTTGGTCTCATTGTCAAGTTCAGTCCCTGAGCTAACTCGCCATGGGTTGGAAAGGGGCCTCCATGTCAATCCCTAGGGGGGGGGGAGGCTGCTGCAAAAGCGTTGTACCTTCCGTTTGTCCTGGTCTGGGAGAGTCAGTGCACTGGTCACCTCTGCCTTTAGTTTGTCATGTGAAATTCTTGTAACGTTTGAGGCCCATTGGCCAATGAAAGCATTCCCCTCAAGCACGTGCTAGGCTAGGGGGGTGGAGGAATTCAGGAAGGGGGGTGACTTAACCTTGAATTCTCTGCTTAGAACTTGCCGAAGTCTCAAGCGTCCTCCGTCATTCAGGGCCTTTAAGCAGCTAGAGTGTATGGACAAGCCCAGAGTGTCTTTTTGATGGACTTGAATGTTTCTTTTGCTAATCAGGAACCAAGAAGAGAGTCACCTTAAGAGAACCATGGGTAAGAGCTGAGTTTCTGGGCGATATTTACTTTAGTTGAGTCAGTTTAAGGTGTGTGGGCTCCTGGTGTCCGATGTTACGGTTTTCATAAATCCGGCTAGATATATATATATATATATATATGACTGAGTGGTCTTGTGCTATAAGGTTGCCTTGGAACATTGCCGCACCATGGTCGAGATTCAAAATCCCTTGAGTGAGGATGCCCATGAACTCAAAAGGAAGTATGAACTATTTCTGTTTGTTTTTTTGTTTTCATTGCCTGCAAATTCAAGCAATTTCATTTTCTTCTTCAGCAGGGTTTCGTGTGCGTCAAGGGATCTCATAGAGCAAATAATGGAAAGCAGCGAACTAGACTTCCTGGAGATCTTCCCTTTACAAAAACAAGATCGCGCAAGTGTCAGATAGTTACGCTTGAAGCTTGTTATCATAATGATCAGGCTGAAAAGCGGAAAATAAGCGTGATAAGCGTAATAAGCGCAAGATTTTTTAACCAGTGATAAAAGGCGTGCCTTGCTTTTTTTGACAAGCCTTAAAAAATTCGAGTTTATTTAACACATGTTAAGGGACTTTTTTTTTTTTTTTTTTTTTTTTTTTTTATTTATTTATTTATTTATTTATTTATTGTTTTATTCAAGACATTTATTACTATAATTACAAAGAACTACTTAAAAAGAAAATAATTACAAAGTTCTAAACAACCGCAATAACAGACATACTTACAATTATCTACATTTCACAATTATATACATTACAGCCACAAAACAGCCGCGCAATTGCCGAATGAGGCTTATTTTACAAAGAATTAATTAATACTTAATTATGTAGATAAAAAGAGATTAACACTTAATATTTACAGTACACTCTGAAATAAAAACAAAAACATAACCACACATACAAAAATAATAAAAAAAAACTGTCTAATAAAAAAAAAAAAAAAAAAAAAAAAAAAACAAACAAACAAAGATTACATTTTTAATTACAAACTCACGAACTTAATTAAAGGGGAGAAATGTCTTTTGGCCATTTTTCATAAAAGGTTTCTAATTTATTATTCTTAGTGGAAATATATTGCAAAAATCATCTCAAAAGTGATTGCGTTAAGATTAAAGAAAGTTCTACCGAATATCATACATCATAATCAAACAGGTTATGTTGAAGATCGCTATATTGGTGAGACTATCCGATCAATTTTCGATATAATGGAATTTACAGACAGTAAGAATATTCCAGGTATCGTGATTTTCATTGACTTTAAAAAGGCTTTCGACTCTTTAGAATGGCATTATCTTTTCAGTTGCCTTGAGGCTTTTAATTTTGGCCCCAATTTTATAAATTGGGTCAAAATGTTTTATACAAATATTCAAAGCTGTGTAATAAATAATGGAATGGCATCAGACTATTTTACTTTAGAACGTGGTGTGAGGCAGGGTGATCCTTTGTCCCCTTACCTCTTTATCTTAGCTGTTGAAAGCTTGGCAATCTCCATTCGTCAAAATGCTGATATCAAAGGAATTAAAATAGATTATTACGAAGCCAAGCTATTGCAATACGCAGACGATACCACAGCAATCCTGTCTGATGAAAGTTCTGCAAAAACGTTACTTCAAGAACTAGAAGTATTTAAGAACTTCAGTGGGTTGGAGATAAATAGCTCTAAAACAGAAGGAATGTGGATTGGTTCGCTTAAAAGAAAAGATGAAAAACCGTTTGGTATTAAATGGCCCAGTGAACCCATAAAAGCTTTAGGAACCTTTTTTACATATGACCAATCATTACTTTACGAAAAAAACTTTCAAGAGAAAGTTGACAGCATAAAGAAGCTGACAAATATATGGTCATCTAGAGGACTGTCCATTTATGGTAAAGTAACTATAATCAAATCATTACTTATTCCAAAACTAGTTTTTATATCTTCGGTTCTTTCACCTCCAAGTAAAATCATCAAACAAGTGAATAGTATAATTTTCTCCTTTTTATGGAATGGAAAGGATAAAGTAACGAGGCTCTCTTCAATAAACAGTTATGAAGACGGTGGCATAAAAATGACAGATATTGAAAGCTTGGTCAAAGCTGTACGACTAGCTTGGCTAAAACGTGTTTTCAGCGATAATGAAAGTACGTGGAAATTTTACATGTTAAGGGACTTGCCTCGCCCCTTATCTGTAACAGGTTTAAGAAAATGGTTGATGCGCACTCTCGTAATATCGGAAAGCAGTCAAAGCAAGCAGATGAGCAGTCCGTGTCTGGAATGACTTTGCAGAATCTTTAGGTAATATAGAGAATCTCGAACAGCTTAAGGCTGGAGTGAAGAAGCGTTATTTCCTCATTTCATTTTTTTTTCCCCAATAAATTTCACATATTGTAAAGTAGATAATTATGTTTTTAGTATCAAATTGTAATTGTAAAGTTAGCTGAAAAGCCATTTTATGGGGTAGGCTGATGAACTATTTATGTACTATTACTAAATAGTACACTTCAATAGGATTGCTAAATAACGGTTTTCTCTTTTTAACTAAAAAAAAAAAATAATAATAAAATGGGAAAACAAAAGAAGCCAAAATAACAAAGGTTGGTCAGATATAATTATGCAAATACATTGTGCAACCTCAAGTACACAGTTTAAAGACCTGTTCACGTGTAGGTGAGTAACCCGCCTGTCCATATAATCTCTCATTTCAATTTGATCAAGCTTACATGATAGGTGGGGGTGAACATTGAGAGATTGTATGGACAGGCGGGTTACCCTACCTAAGAGGGTCACCTCTACCTGCCTTCGCAAAACGGCTATCCAAATTAAAGAAATTTCCACAGTTATTCTGAATCGTACAAGAGGGAAAAACGTTCGAAGAGAGTGTCACTACATCTAACTGCGATACGACGCGACATAATGGGAACTGATATAAATTTTTAATAATTTTGCGGAATTGCAAACCGGTCAGTGACTGGTACATGTAAGAGTGACTTCACCAACTTATCCTTGGATCGATGAATAAACAGTCGTGAAATTGGATTAGTCTGGTGATTTCTCAGTTAAAAAACCCACAAATTTTGGTGAATATGTTAATGTATAGTCATTTTAACTCGTACTTTTCCTCAGACCGAATTAAAAGCCCCCCCCCCTCACTCCTCCGCCCCAAGTGATTGAATTTGTAAAGTCCATTGGATGATACCCCTACTGAATATCGATAAGTTTTAAAGGAGGTTTCACTGAGAGAGTAACAACGACTCGAAGTAATCGGATGAAATTCAGGCTAAGTGAAATGCAGCCAAAAAGTGGCTGGTTTAGGCTTGCATAACAACTTAAATAGTTATCAAAACACTACTTTTTCGCGGTCCGAAAAATGACTGGATTTCGCATGGAATAGACAAGGAATTGATCGCAGCATTAGTACACAAATTATCATCTTTTTATCTGCCAAAACCGGCCTACAGTTCAAAGCCAAAGAGCCCTCTGAAACTAGACCTAGATGTAATTGTCTTGAGGCGAGAATTGATTTTGCAAGGCGCAATCAACAAAGCTCAGTAAGCTAAACACCGACGAAACCTTTTTATTGCTGGCACAGAATATTTTAGTGCAATAGCTCAACCACGCGACCACAAATCTGAGTTCTGCCTGTCAAAGCCATTTGGAAATCACACAATTACACACTTTCGCGGCACTGATAAGAGGGTGCTAATGGGGTTAGCAGTTAACTGATATTTGGCTAAGAAAATAGTAGTTAACTGAGAAATGAAAATTTAACAGTTAAGTGACATTCTATTTATACGATCGTTGATGTTAATGAATGCGACAAAGTTTTGCAAGCAGAAATGCTATTTTCTGCCTTCTTTCTGTCCCGCTGATCACCCGGTGGCACATTAACACATACTAGTATGCACAAAAGGCGCCTGGGCAGTACCCGGACCCAGCAAACAGAAAGGGTCAATCATAGAGCAGCTGGTTGTTGAGAACTCAAGAAACAAGATTTTTGTGTTCGGAAAAGGAAAGAACTGTTTTCACGGACCCCAAAGAACGTCACGTTAAACATTACTACCCAAAGAAAAAAGCTAACTCTAAGCATTAGATCTTCTGATTGCTCAAAGAAATCAACATCTTTCTTTAAAGTACATGTAATTTGTACTTACCAAAAATCATTGTTGTAGCTGATGTTGCAGTTCTAACTATCGAGGCTATTAAGATCGTGTTTAAACCTGTCTTTCTGAAACAGGTTCGTTCATTAAAACCCTTGGATATCTTTATGACGCTTTTGAAATACGCGCGAAAAAGGTACGTCTGTGAAAAAAAGGGTAACACAGGGACGCGAAAGAGGATGTCGACAAAATCTGTATCGAGGTACAGAAAACTTCTGATAACACAGGTGGAAAACCTACACGCTGTTTCTCACTTCAACACAAAACATTTAGTGCTTTAAACTACGTACGCACAAGACTTTGAAACCACAATGAAGGAATCGCTTAAAAGAACTACGAATTCGAAGGGCTGCACTCAAGAAAAATCGAATTGTGCCTTGTCAAATACTTTCATGCCTCTATCAACACTTTCAACTATGTCTCTCCCATCGGTGCAAACAGTACCAAAAGAAGTTGAAGTTGTGATGAGGGACTGGATAGAGAACTTTCGCCCTGTTTGACAACGAATCATAAAAAGCGAACCAACTCAAGATAACACAAGTGGGATTTTTACCACCAGCGTTACGGTATTGTGAAGTCGCGAATCAAGCTCAATAAACGGTTACATTATACGCCCTTAGTTCCGTCAAAAGTCTCCCTACTAGTCCGTTCACCACTGTCCTATATGCAAAACAAGTCCTTCTTTTTCTAGAGTGTTAACGCTCATTTCGCATCTAATTATCCTACATTAAGTCCCTTGAGACCCGACACTACGGGTACTTGTCATGCTATTTGCTATCTTTTTAAAAAGCTAAAACTTTTTTTGCACCAATTGAATTCCAAAAATAATGGTCCAGTTTCGTTATTTAAGAGTATATTTTGGCATTGATTTTTTCCCGTCGTCTGTTGCAATGAATTGAAGGATTGAAAATGGATTGAAATTTAGGCCAACAACAAGGACCTAACAAGATACAGGACATACAGCAACCGGATAAGTACACGAGACTGTTTCAGATAATGAAAGTGACGAAGAAGGTAACTTTGAAGTAGTTTATGGCAGGAAATGCATGACCAGGTCGGGAAGATCAGTACGAGATCATGACTGGTGCGTCTGGATCTTGAGGCTGGTGTCATATTGATGGCTATACGACTTAATCTAAAGATCAGTGAAAGCGACGAAGAAAGTAACTTTGAAGTAGTTTATGGCAGGAAATGCATGACCAGGTCGGGAAGATCAGTACCAGATCATGACTGGTGCGTCTGGATCTTGAGGCTGGTGTCATATTGATGGCTATACGACTTTATCTAAAGATCAGTTAATAGGGGTCTTAATAGCCATCGCTTACTCATTTTTACTACTTCGGTTAGATAATTGTATGTTCTTTTCTATATTTTCAGTTACTTATAAATTTTACTAGTGGCGGAGTTTATGTAAATTCATGTAAAATTTATACCTTGATTTTAGAAAATTCGGGTTATGACGGAATAATATTCGCTATAGGAAAGTGAAAGTTAATAGCTAACCGAAATTAGTAATTAACCGAGAATTGCCCAAAAAATAGTAGTTTACTTATATTTGGCTGAAAAATTATCAGTTAACTGAGAATTGGGTACCTCCATTAGCACCCTCGAGGAAGTTTCGTAGCTTTTTGGATGGTTTCCGTATCCATTCGATAAATCTCTTCGCAGAAGTTTTTTAGTTTCGTAGCTACGAAACGAGTATCATGCACAATCAAACCGGCTATGTATGGACAATCCGACCCCTACAAGCTAGAAGTCACTAGTAAAGTAAACTGTTGTGAGACAATCATTCACTTACGTTAGAAATATTAAAAAGAAAACTTTTCCATTTTCTTGTTCTTCAACGGGCCTTGGCTTGTGCAAAGCCGGTCATGTTCGATACACGTATCCGTGCGTCGTAATGAGGCAAGCAAAAGGGGAAAAAAAAAAAACAGAAAAAGATTTTGTGAAGAATGAATTACAGAAACCATGGCGCGCGCTGATGGCAATACTCATGTCACTCCCTCACTGTATATAGGTCGTTTGAGTGGCTAATTAAAAAGAAAATTGAATTTCCCTCTTGATTAATTGATCAGATCTCGCCTTCGGCTTCATCGACAAGAGATCTGGGTGATATTTGCATTAAACTGGAACCCTCTTTAAACAATCAACGTTAGAGTGCTGTGCTTCTAACGAGAGTAAATAAGGGTCTAGTAAATGAACACATTCCTAATTCTTGGTGATTAATTACCGTATGGAATATTAATGCGAGTTCTGCTTTCTCCGACTAGCGGTCTATATCCTAGTTAATGGATATCTTTCTAATATTTGGCGAGTTGATTACCTGATGGTACATTACAAGTTCTGCCATCTCCGCTGGAAGGGCTGTTACATGTGCAACTAAAGGATCCCGCTGTGTTTGTACATGAAGCAAGTGAACTGTGTCAATATCTACACAAAGGGAACAATACAAGTAAGCGTAATCATAACCTGTGTAACCGTTTTCTTTACAAAGAGGAAACAAGTTAAACGGCCGAAATTAATTATTTTAAGCTTGATCAAATTAGAAATAGATATTAGGTACAACTAAGAAATGCTCGGAAAAAATCCGAGCCCCCAGCGGGAATCGAACCCACGACCCACCGGTCGTGGGTTCGATTCCCGCTGGAAGCTTGATAAAAGAAAAAAATATATATCGCACGTTTCAACAGTCGATATTGTTGCACTTATTGAACAAAAAAATCGCACTTAGGCACATCTTACGATTTTGTGCATCTTGCCGACCTGGCCTCTGTTGTTCAAAAGATAGATAACCCTATATCCACTCGATAAATCTCTATCAAGTGGAAAGCGTAATTATTGATTATCCGTTGGGTAGTGCTATCCACCGTGTGTGCAACCGGCGCCTGTACTTTATTTTTATTCATCGCTTACATAATCTGTCTGCTTGACATCGCTTGTCTGTTTGCTTACTTCAAGCGGCCACTGATTACTGCAATTTTTTCCCGGATGTTGTATTGCTGTCGGTTACCGGTTTACTCAAAAAACAAACATATCAAACAAACTTTTTAAATTAGACTTAAAAGCCTCACCAGTGAATGTGATTACCATTGCATATTAGGCATACTATAATGGGTGACGAATTACGCGTTAATTTATAATTTCACATGTAAAATTGCAAAACTGCCATGGCAACGATGATTCCCCACGTCTCAGTGCTCAGTGTTAAGATGGCGTCAAGGTGTTAAAATATTATGAATGAAGATTTCAAGGCATTAAAACTTGTCGATTGTGTCCTCATCTTATCTCAAAGAGAATCTAAATCGAGCTCAACTTGCATTAGAAATGATCTCGGAAACAACTTTTCCTACCATTGCAAGTTTTCCCGTCACCGGAAAATCCAATCTTGCAAGTACAGAGGTAAGATCCGTTATTAGAGAGTTTTAGATCCGAGATTACCGCGAACCTCTAACCGCGGTTTGCGGTTACCCGTTTGCGGTTCGACGTTCAAACATAATTCGATTTAGATTGGCGGTGGATTAAAGAAGTGGATTCTGAATTTATTTTTCCATTTAGAAATGGAAGAAATATCAATCAGTGAAAATAAAAGAAATTTACGGTAACACTGGGTTATCTAGCAGTAAAGAGCTGTAAATTCTTACATTAGTTCTTCTTATAAATTTACGGCCGCCATTTTGAATGAGCAGCCATGAATGGCACTTGTTTTCAAGATCCAATAGGATTTATCAAATTTAGCATTTCGCCCGAATTTGTGCCTCTGTTAATGGATAAAGACTTGCTGCACAAGATTTTCGTATCATTACGTGGGATAAAACAAGAATTATACGGTAAAAGCTTTCAGGTAAATGGCATAAGTGAAAACCTACCTCCCCACGTTGAAAACGCACGTCGTAAACCTCAAACGTGACGCGAAAGACTTGTCACGTGACTCCCAGCGGTTAGAGGTTCGCGGTAAACTCGGATCTAAAACTCTCTATTGTTGGTGCAAGTCGCATTGACGTCACAGAGACGAACAGATGAAGTGCATTCGTCAATATCTGAATGATAAAAGTAAAGGTTAGACGTTCAGGAGCACCCCTGGAGCAAGCAGCCTATTTTTCTGTCTATTTCACATTTGCATGTGTAAAGTAATACAAAGGATGCAAAATGGACAATATATACTTGAAAGAGCCTTAATCCTTTTAAGGTTAGTCCCCGGGATCATTCAGTTATACGCTAACTCATTCCTCACCTCCAAAGCATTGTCTTCTCTTCCTCACCTTTGTTTGTCCATAACCGACTGAAACGGATCTTATCACTTATAAATTTAAAGTGAACTCACCTTCAGTCTCCATATTACAGTGAGCGAGAGCAGACGTGCCAGGTTTAATGGTAGAAAACCAATACTTTTGACTGATGGAATGACCTTCACTCATCTTTATTTCTAAACAGGTTTCAGCCGGTAGTTTGGGAATGGAACCTAGAGGCACTGAAAGAAGAAGTCAATTCATCGTGTCTTTTATTTGATTTACAGTCGGTTTTGACAGTTAGTTTGCTACATACTTCAGGGTAGGAAGCTCAGTCACGGCAGGGCGGATAAAAACTAATTCAAACTGATTGGTTGCCCTGATATCAGGATTAAAAGGACGCACAATCATTGCTTCATGACCATGTAATTCGGGACGGACCATTCGGGGTGGGGTGGAAATTTTTGAAATAAATTGCATGCAAGTAAAAACTTAAAGTGTCTGCAGGAAGACGGAGTCACACAAAAAATGTTTGCAACGTGGAGTCGCATATATATATAAAAAATGTTTGCATGTGCAAATTTTCCAACCCTTCCCCCCCCACCCCCTCGCCAAGTTAAAAAAAAAAGTGGTCCGTCCCTAAGACAGTACTTGCCATTCATGGGCGCTGCATGGTATTGGTTACTTTTTAGAAAAAATACAAATGACATTATTTTATGTAAACCGTTTTCTCTCTAGAGAAATAAAAACCCATAAAACGGCCATAAATCGGCCCGTGGACCACACTAGAGAGACGTAACACATTTTAAGTAAGGTAAGCTGTTTTATATTTGAAATCCTTTCATTTTCGTAGGTTACAGAAACGACAGGTTTTTATCCCATACAAATCCTTATATTTCGAATGTCACGCAACAAGGCCGATGTTCGCCAAAGCTTGTATTTCGAGCTTGGGCTACCTGTGCCGGTACGCGGCCGTCCAACTTTGTTTAATCACTCGTCACGAATGATTACAGAGGTTAGCTACTTCGACTCCACTTAGTCATCATAACAATTAATAAACAATTATTGTAGACAGTTTTTTACCTCTGTTCCTATCACGTTTGTAGTAAAATCTGTCTGGGTCAGGAATGAAATCCTCAGGTCTGGCTTCCTTGGTTCTGTTACTAAACTCGCGCTTGAGGAGAGAGATCACCCAGTTAAAGCTTTGGCATCGATCGTCTTCGCGACAAACTTGTACGCATTTATGCTGGAGTTCTGCCCACATCGTGTTGTAGATGTGTCCCTTTAACATCCAGCCGAAGATGGATACCTGGGATCCGCATTGTTGAGTTACTGCTTTGTAGAGTAGTTGACCCAGCACAAAAACAACTGATATACGAAAGAGCTGCCTCATTTTCATCCCTTTGAAAAGACAACCGAGAGCCAAATATTTTATTTGACTGAATTTAATTCTTAATTACACGACTTTGTATTTACCAGGTCGTTTTGAGTTACCTATTCTAGCCGATTAAAGAGTATTAACAGTCGCGGATAATACGAGTGAACCACGTAATTACTAAAAACAAAGGTATTCAGACTACTCGCTGATTTTGGATAAATTTTAAAGCAACCTTTTACATAAAAGAACCTATTAATAGAAATGGTATAGACTATTTCCTAGTTCGTAAGACTCTTTCTTTCAAAAAAAGGCTAAGTACAAAGACTTTGTTGTGTGAAAATGAGTTTTATTTAATTGAGAATAAAAATCTATTTTCTTGTCAATGGCTTCGCACTTAGCCTCGCATTGAAACAGAGGCCTGGGGCAATGGGAAATCGCTTATTGGGAAACTCCTTCGTTCAACCCTAGTAGTCAGAGATTCATCACAAATTGCCTTTCTTCTAAAGTTTGAAATTAACCAGGGATGAATAATTACCCATTAAAGGATAAAGGATAAGCATCGTTCACCAAACGGTGTTTAAACAGGGGAGTTTATTTCTTCGATTGTATTCCCAGGAACTTTGACCATGGTTTCAATTTTCAACCACAAATTCCGCTTTTAAAAGCTGACTCGTTCATCTCCATCTCGCTTTTTGTTTTTTCTTATGCTTCTCGCTCAGTTTTTAAGAACAGTGGTAAACTTTTTAAACTCCTTCGATTACTTTATTTTACTGTTTAGCTACAAAAGCTTCAAGGGAAGGTAGGAGCGTATCCCGTATCCCTTAATTTGACTTGCAATATTATTTAATTGCTATATTAATAAGGTAGACTGGTGAAGAGGTGAGGGCATTCAAGTCCCACCAATGTGCCCTGAGTTCGAATCCCAGTAGCGACATCTTCTGCGAACTGAGTACTCCGAAAAAATTTTCTCCGGGCATTTCTTCTTTTCCGTCTCCTCAAAAATCTCAATGAACTTGTTGCAGAATCGGGTACAAGAAGAACCACTCTGTGGAGGAGCCTGACCGCTAAGTCGTCATTATTTATTTTCTGATTACCATGGTAAGGGCTCCAGGGAAAGGAAGATGTTTTTCAAAGAAAAGATATACCTTAATAACATAGCTGGATGATTCTCCTAATCAAATTCAGTAGCGGGAGCGTGCTTTAAGGCCTCTTCATATGAGCCAGGTTAACCGGGCTGGTCCGGTTTCCGCGATCTCGCCTTACCTCTAAGAAGCTCTTCATATGAACCCGGTTTCCGAGATCTCGCCTTACCTCTAAATCCTTTGTAAAATTTTAGATGTGTTTATATGATTGCGAGGGCGGGCTGGCTCGGTTCCCGAGATCTCGGTTTAGGGCCTCTTCATATGAGCCCGGCTGACCGGGCTGGCCCGGTTTCCGAGATCTCGCCTCACCTCTAAATCCTTTGTAAAATTTTCGATGTGTTCATATGAGAGGGCGGGCTGGCTCGGATCCCGAGATCTCGGTAAGCGGGCTGGAAATTTTGCCATATGAACACTTCATCCCGGTTACTGGAATGAACGGCGGAATGAATTCTGGCGGTCCAGATGGCATCGTCTTGCATTGCCTGCTGTGTTTTCCACATCATAAGCATCCCATTTAACTGCAGTGATACAGCTTTAGGAGTTACCGATGCTAAGATAGGCCCGAAAGTTAAAATTTTTGTGTTTCGCTATGTTTGCTTTGTTTCCCAAATTTGGCGTCAGAACTCGTACCCAGGATCTTTGACCTTTTCTCATCTCGGAAACCGGGCTAAAATTTCTCATATGAACCCAAGGCAAAATTCATCCCGGTAACCGAGCCAGCCCGGTCAACCGGGCTCATATGAAGAGGCCCTCAGTCCAACAGGAGATCTCGGTAAGTGGGCTGGAAATTTTGCCATGTGAACACTTCATCCCGGTTACCAGGGTGAACGGCGGGATGAATTCTAGCGGTCTAGATGGCATCGCCTTGCATTGCTTGCTGTATTTTCCACATCATAAGCACCCCATTTAACAGCTGTGATACAGCTTTAAGAGTTACAGAGGCTATGATAGGCCCGAAAGTTTAAACTTGAATTTGTGTTTCGCCATAGTTGCTTTGTTTCATTGTTTCATTGTTTCAATATTTCTATTCCAAAAACTCCCAATAGGACTTTAAATCTGAAAGATTTTAGAAGAGTGTTTTACACTTAGCAGAAAATTGGACGATTGGTAAATGAATGGAAAAATATGCAGCACTACAACAAGGTGAAATCGTTTCAGGCCTCGTCCTCACGTATCCGGATATTTTTGAAAACAGAGACGTTTACTCCGTTTCTCCTCTACACGAATCGTATACGAATCGTTTTTTCGCCCGTCCGTAAAACAACGCTCAAACGAGCGAAATACATAAGCTCTTTGAGGGCATGAGCTGTATGATGTATGTCATCATCGTATCCTACGTTTTTGTCCGCCCACACGCAAACAGTAAGTGGCCAGTTTGAAAAAATTCCAACTCCACTAGGATCCTTTTTCAAATATCTGCATTTTTGGTAGCCGAAAACCACCTTTGGCGTGTGGAAGGAATGCTGAAACGGAGGAAAAAAATCTCCGTTTTTATATCCGGTCGGGGTCTCAGGATAAACCTTTCCGGTCCTTCGAGCTCCAGAAACGCAATTTCTTATGGTAATTTAATTAACCTTTCACTTGGCTGTGAGTTTAATCGAACTTGAATAATCGTAACTGCCCAAAATGTGCTAACTTCAATTATATTTCGTTTTTTTTTTTTTTTCCATTATCATCCAACAATCTTCGAGTATCAATTAAAAGCGATCGACAATTGCAAGGGTGTTCCCTTAACGCCTAGTTGAAATGAAAAACCGGGATAGTAATAAACACCGCAATAACTAAGCTGTTTAAGTTAAAACAATAATCTTTGGAAATAAAACTTTTAAAACTACATAATGAAAGTGGACGAAAATCGTTTATAAGGCATTGTTAGTTTTTTTTTTTTCTTTTCAACAAATTAAACGAGTGTTTAAAGCAAAAAAAATTCAGGTAAAACAGCCAGTTTTAAAAGGTAAAAACCTATTCAATTTCTTGAACGTGAAAAATATTTTCCAGGTACTGCTAAGAGCCCATCGATAATTCCTTGAAGGCAAACTTTTAAACGTGTCTTTCATACACCAATGTTTACGAAATGCAGGAACCAAAAGTAGAAAAGAATTTACTGTCCTTTGAACGTTAAATTAAGCACCTTAGATCGATCCCGTATCGCCCAAATTGTTAAATTAAACAACATCTTTGAAAACCGTTTAAAAAACGTTCTCTTATCATTGAATTTCTCTTGTCTTTGTTAGACCCTATTCTTTTGCTTCGATGCCACGATACAGCTAATTAATAGGAACCTTTCTGTTAATTATAACAGACATTTCAATTCAAAAATATTACGTTACCGATATTTAATTTTTCCCTTTGAAACAGTAAAGTATTGACTAAGGATATAATGTCACCTGTCAACTTCATATTTTTAAGATCGAGCATTTTGGTTATTTATTACTGATTTCGTTTAGCTCGTTTTCAGCAGGTTATTCGGCCGTAATATATAGCCATTGTGAGTAAAATGGTCTGGGAACGCAAGCAAACGTTTTATCCGATCTCTAACCTATTTAAGGAAACAAACTTGCACATTAGGCGTAGTTTTCCTCATTATACTGTGCTTTTCGTTATTCTAGGTTTATTATTTTTTTACTGCTTCTTTTGAAGCTACCAAAGGCATAAAAATTGCAATAGTTTAAGTTGCTTCGATAGCTGCAAAAGACTTTTCGGGAGACCATACTATTCAACTGACTATACTGGCATTTTTTCTGGTCCTAAAAGAAGCCTTCTTTGTGTACGATCTAGACGAAATTTTCACTACTTTCACTGTTTTTTAAGTCGTAATTGACGTTTTAAAAACACTTATTTATTATTTTTTAAGAATTTTATTGAGTCATTCCCAATAAGGATAAAACAGCTGACATTTTTCGGCAGCGGAAAGTTTCATTTGGGGCGGATGTTAGAAGTTGTAGTTCTCAAGATTGAAACAAGAACTAAAAGCAAGAAGTTTATGGTGTGGGAAAAATAGACACCATTCTAACTCTAGTTTTGGGTAATTTTAGACTCCAATAATTTATTTATTGATGCGTCTGCTACTGCAGTAGAACAAATATATTAAATGTCGCTTTGCTCCATTTTAAACAGAACTGAGAATTTTTAGCGGGGCTCCCGCGCGCGCGAAGCGCGCGTGGGACAGAGCCCCATACCCATGGAATATGGTCAACCTCTTTTCGTTTGGTTGTCACGTGATTGACCGAGCGTACGTACGTACGTACGTACGTACGCGTCTACAGATTGTATGGGTGGGGTAGGGGAGACTATCAAAAGGAAGGGAGGGGTGTCTCAGGCGTGTCTTGGCAAGTCCACATCTTTAATATAGGATATTAACAATATGGTCAATTGACAGCTGTCCAAACAGGATAGCCACTGACCAGTATCCCATGACCATATCGCGGGCTCATGTGTCAACTCATCGAGGTGACGTGATTTATTTGGAAGCTGTCCGCTGACCAGTTAACTGTTTTACTAGATCGCGAACAACGTTCAATCTCATACTTTTACTAGTTTGGAAGCACAGGAAAACTGATAATGCACACATATTGGACATCAATGTTTTGATCAATTGACAGCTGTCAAAACAGAGTACCCGCTGACCAGTATCACTTGACCGTATCGCGGGCTCAGGTGTCGACCCGTCGAGGTCAAGTATTTTTTGAAGTTATCCGCTGACAAGTAAACTAGTTTTCAAGTGATCGCAGGCTCAAGTTCAATTTTTTTTTCTTAATTCATATGAAATATGTTGTGTTTATGTGCTGCACAATTAAAATTTTGATTGCAAACTGACCTCGGACGTGAAAATTCAGCCAGCTGTTACAGGCAGGGAAGACAGTTGCTTTTTGTTTTTCT